AAACTATAAACATATAATTATGTATATGTAACATAATAAGCCACCTTGTATTAGCATAAAATGTTATACTTGATTATATATGTCTGCATTATCATACGTTCCTATCAAAGTACATGGTATTTGTGACATTCCTTTCAAACACGGCAATAGTTGCTGAAAAAAAAAGAAGCTTTTTTTATTATTGAAAACCATCTTTAACAGCAAATTTTAAGGTCGATATCCCAAAGACAATCACTAATACACATGCGCATTTTAGAATAAAGTTTAAACATTTATTTTAGAATACAACTTAAATATGTATTTTATAATAAAGTTTAAACATTTATTTTATAATAAAGCTTAAACATTTATTTTGGAATAAAATTTAAATATTTATTTTGGAATACAATTTAAATATTTATTTTAGAATAAAATTTAAATATTTATTTTGGAATAAAATTTAAATATTTATTTTGGAATACAATTTAAATATTTATTTTAGAATACAATTTAAATATTTATTTTGGAATACAATTTAAATATTTATTTTAGAATAAAATTTAAATATTTATTTTGGAATACAATTTAAATATTTCTTTCTTCATAGAAAATCATTCAAGTTCTTCAAAAAGATTAATAAAACTTATTTTTGGTAAAACTAATAAGAAAATGTTGCCCGGGAAACCTAAGCTAACCCATGATTCTATGTTCGGTGATTAGGTACCTAGGATCTGTGTAAACTAAATAATGTGCTTCAAGTTTCGACTGATGAACTTGCGCGCCAAAACCCATATTTTTAATCTTTAAAATGGTTCAACGATGTGAGTAGACAATCTGACTTTCCCATTTCTCGATACTACCAGCTCTTAGAATTCACTTAACTATATGTTGACCTCTAAATATTTGTGTTTACAGAAGTCTTCTTTCAAACTTGTTCATCCAACTAATCCAACGTGGACAAACCACTAGCACGTTAGGCTTATCTTACTACTGATGATTTTACCATATGGACGTGTGTGACCCGTTGGTAAACGAGAAATTGCGGTGAAAGACATTCGTTTCGAATATGAACTGCATAGTTTCTCTTTCTCACATTGTAGATGTGTTGAAGTACTCGTGCTCCCTTTTCCTTTACTTCAGCTTGTTTTTCTAATGGTGTTACCACCAAAAAAAAAAAAAAAAAGGAGAGATAAGAAAAAAAAAGAAATATTTTATGTTTGGAATTTTATATCAACTATAAACTAATTAATGGTAAAGTCTTTACTCTTTAGTCAACACGTGCACACTTTTCTGTGTAGTTTCACGTCGTTCTGATCTTGAGATGGAAAGTTTAAAACTCTTCTGACCTCAGACACAAAAGTTGTTTTGCGATTATATATATGTTAAACAATCTTTTAATAGCAAAATAAAGCAAACGTGTTAATTAATTATTTCTTTGTTGAGGACTCAAACATGTATTCTTTAAGTTTCTTTGTTTTAAAATACTTTTGCAAAACAACACAAGGGCTATTTGCGCTTATCAGTTCCTAATTTTGAGCTTATAGTCTAGAGTTTGTTTGTTTGTATTTTTGTTTCTTTTAGGATAAAGCCAAATTGGACTATCTGCTGTGACCATCTCGGGGAATCGAGACCCGGTTTTTTGGCGTTGTAAGTTCGTAGACTTACTGCTGTCCCACCGGCGGACTATAGACTTGAGAGATGGCAACTAGTCAACAGCACCCACCGTCAACTCTAGGGCCACTTTTGGCTGACCAAGTAGTTGGATTTTACAGCCACTCTTATTGTGCACACACGGCCCAAAGTATGGATCTCGTAAACAGCAACGGACACAAATAACGAACATAGTCAGGACACGCTAACCGCTAGGCTACGTCCGCTTCTATTATTATGCAAACAGCCTATTTTAGAAGATGTTTATAAAACTGATAATTGTTTTAAAAGTTTATCCAAAACAATTAACGAAAAGAAAAAACCACAAGGTTTCGTGTTTTGGAGAGATTCATGTAATCTGATCACGTGACTGAATTTCCACTGAAAGATTCGAACTCCGCAGTCACAAACAGGTATATTAAAAACATCTCGAAAGTTCTTACATGATTAACGTTTAATTCAGCTATACCATACTTCTCTGTCTTTGTATATCTTAATGTTCTTTTTTTGTCATTTAAGGCTTATTAAGAGAGAGATAGAGAAACAAAAACGATGTTTTTGACACAATGAAAGATAAAATCTTGATTATATATATTTCAGTCTAATAGTTTCAGTAACGGAATCACCATCATCAACATTAGTGACTGACCGAAACTACTAGTGTTACCGAAACAAGTCGGCTGAAATATATAATCAAGATTTTTGTTTTTCTCTCTTAACATAGCACTCGATGTGTCTGAATAGGAATTAATTTAAGGTTTAGTTAATTCTAACTTTCTGCATTGATCTGGAGTTTAAAAATGATATTATAACTATTACACTCGAAGTGTACTCTGTTTACTGTGACGTGTCAATATAAAATCATTTGTGTACGGAGGCAAGACAGGCGGGCATTTAACACTGCAACTGCTCACAGCAGCTGGCCCCGAAAACGACCTGTCATCTTTAGAACACATAGAGACACACCCTGTCACAGAACTGTGGGGGGAATATGTGACAGCGCTCATTTCTCTGACGACGTAACCAATTATCACCCCATTAAGTGGCAGTAGCGCACACAAACCCTTCGTCCGCGTTTCTACAGGACAGAGAAAAACGCGTTCCCACATACTGAACGATGTGAAAATCAAGGATATCAGTAAACTTCTCAAGTCATTGTAGCGTTCACTAAGCAAGCTTTCCTTACGATCAAAATATTACCAGCGGTATAGTTATCAACTCTGATATTATTATATTATTGTTACTCCTCAACTCCAATGTTATTATATTGTCGTTAGTTATCAACTCTGATATTATTATATTGTCGTTAGTTATCAACTCCGATATTATTATATTATTTGTTAGTTATCAACTTCGACATTATTTTATTATTGTTAGTTATCAAATCCGTTATTACTATGTTAATTGTTAGTTATCAACTCCAATATTATTTTATTATTGTTAGTTATCAACTCCGATATTGTTATATTACTGTTGATTATCAATTTCAATTTTCTACTGGTAATTTTTTTTTGCGCTCAGTGGGGGTTGTGTCTAAGTCTAGGCATGTATTTTCCAATTGCTATGCATTATATATAGAGAATTTAGTTAGACAGAAACAATAGATGCTCACTATATTCTCAAACAAATCTTCATGGCATCTGGCTGCAGCTTAACATTTTACATTTTGAACTAATTCGATCAACTAGTCAATAGCTACAGTAAATAATCATGAACCGTATAAGCTATTTTTTTATCATTATAAAGTATAAAGTTAGCTAACATATCAAGTAATCATTTGCCCATAGCTGAGCATAAAAAAAGCCAGCTAACCAGATAAATAAAAATTGGAAACTTAAAAACCTGCAAATATGGATTGTAAAAAAAAAAAAGTAAAAAGGCTGGAGATACTGCAGACATTATTTATTCAAACTACAAATCACTATTTTGACTACACTAAATGCAATTCTAGGTAAGAGCATGGAGCAAACATAGTGGTTTGTAATTTGAGTAAATAATGTCTACAGTATCTCCAGCCTTGTTTCTTTACTTTTTACGATCCCTATTTGCAGGTTTTTAAATTCCCAATTTTTTATTTATCTTGTTGAATAAGACAGCACGTGAATATGAAAGGATTCGACTCGTTCATGGAGAGAAATGTTACAAAGTGTGATTCTTCAACCTAAGGGAACAGCAGGAACCAAGGTCAATAATGAAACGAAAGTCAACAACGGAACGAACACCAATAATGGAACGATCGCCAGTAAAGAAACGAAAGTCAGTTATGGAACGATCGTCAGTAAAGGAGCCAAAGTTAACAATGGAACGAACGTCAATAATATAATGAACGCCAATAAAGGAACGAAAGTCAACAATGGAACGAGCGTCAATAATGAAACGAAAGTCAACTTGGGAATAATCGTCAATAGAGGAGTAAAAGTCAATAATTGAACGAAAATCAATTGTTTGTTTGTTTATAATTAAACACAAAGCTACACAATTGGCTCTGCCCACCATGGGTATCGAAACCCGGTTTCTAGCGTTGTAAGTCCGCAGAAGTCAAAAGTCAATAACGAAACGAACGTCAATAATGCAAGTGTAATGCTTGGTAGCTGGATAATAAATTATGTACAGAGTCACGTAATTTGTGTATTTCTTTCAGTCGAGGTCACCGCTTTGATTGAGAATCGTCTATAAAAATAATAGTTTTACTCAGGTTTTGGCAACCATATTCTGGGATAGATTACATAACACATAAATAATTGAATGACCAAACTAACATTTCTGGAAAGCTGTTTAGTTTGAACATTATCGGGATGACCTTTGAACTCTATAAAGACGATCAAAACTGATCTATCGTACCTCATGCTACTCCCCCCCCGCTTCTTGTAACCCCCTGTTTTTTGTTGTTGTTGTTTTTTTTTGCTCAAAATATTAGACGTTTCGTTTCCTAACACCCTTCTACTCTCTATTGGTTTACTTGTTTGACTCTTCTAATAGTCTGCCTTTTGTTTTTCATTTTGTGATTGGCCAACTACTACAGTAGGTGTGGCTTCTAAGACTTGTAAGCGTTTTTAAGTGTTCTCCAAGTGATACAAAATTCGTGTCATCAACAAAACTTGTACTTTTAGTTTTATTTTGTTTGTTTAATTACAGTTTCGCATTTGTTTAAAATTTTGCGTTTTGTACAGTAAACGTAGACGACACGTGATGAATGACAAACTGGGACAGATATTCTCAACTAGGACAAACGTTCTCTCGAAAACACGATACGTCTTATTAGCTGCAGCTTTGTTTCCTTTCGAAATGTGACAATTTACAAAATATAATTCGCTGCTTTGGAAAGTGTTTGTTAATCACAACTAATATTTGCATTAAATTGATCACTTCCGTACGGGGTTCTGGTCAAGTTAACAGACAAAGAGAAAACAAGAAAGATAGAGCGTTAAGTTGGTCACTTCCAAACGGGGTTCTGGTCAAGATCAGATACGGAGAAAGAAAAGAAAGGTAAGTCTAAGACAGTTTGTTTGTTTTCGTATACTAGCGTAAGGTTATTTAAGGGCTATCTACACTAGTCGTCCCTAATTATGAAATGATAGAGTAGAAGGAAGACAACTAACCAATGACCCCCCCACCGCCACACTTATAGTGCACCCACGACTCTCCATGGTAACCGGGCCACAAGAATCTAATCTTTCAAACTGGACCTTATTTGATGACCCTGATGAAAGACTCTCCACAAGCACGAGACCTCGGTATGTGATAAACCAATTTATTCTCTCTATCTATTTATTTAAGAAGAGAGAGAGAATGAAAGCATGCACCTTGTGTGTATAGAGATAGATACATTTTTCGTATATAATTGTTACATAAAGCTCGTGCGTTCTAGCACTGAAGTCTTGTTAGGGATCTTTGTTTTACACGTGTATTACCGACAAAGTATTATAAGTATTTTTTTTTTTTTACTTTTGCGAAGTGTCATCCAAACATTGACGGCATAATCTTCCTCCACGTGTCGAGAGCACGAGATCATGCACGTGTTTATATGACCATGAGGTTCAACGGCCGTAGGTTACTAGGTATAGAATTACAGCGATTTGTAGTTAGTGTACACAAACTAAGAGAATAAGTGCGGATTAATCCCCCGGCTGAGGTCAAATGTCAATATGAACAAAACATTTTTTATGAAAAAAGACCACATATTGAGAAGAAAAAATTGTCACTCTTCAAGAAAATATTAAGACAACCTAAGGAGACAAAACCGGCAGGACGAAGCTGAGGCAAAACAGAGTGCAAACAACTCTGGAAGATAACCAAGAAAACGACCTAAGGAAACAAAACCGGCAGGACGAAGCTGAGGCAAAACATTGCAAACAACTCTGGAAGATAACCAAGAGGTCGACCTAAGGAGACAAAACCGGCAGGACGAAGTTGAGGCAAAACATTGCAAACAACTCTGAAAGATAACCAAGAGGTCGACCTAAGGAATTTTGATATGCTCATGAACTCTCAAGATTTTTATAATGAAATCCAGTGAATAAGAACTTTCGAGAAAAATATCAAAAGTGTTCCTTTGGAGCTGACGGAAGCGTGGATTATTAAGTGAGGTATATAAAGAACATAGGTGCATGTTTGGACTTTGTTCACCAGCTGATCTTACAATTAGCGTGTCGGGGCTGAGTATCTGAGGGTCTCGGTTTTGTCACGAGATACTAGCAAACGAGTTTCGCAATTTCAGTTGTGGGTGTGTTATAAGAGTGACATTTAGTCCCACTACTTAGTTAAGAACAGCCAGTTCAGGTAATAGGTTCTTCAGACTAACTGTTTTCCATCTAGTCTGTACTTCAAAATTAGAGAGGACTATCCCTGAATGACAGGGATCTCTAACATTACCGTTTGGCCCACTGAGTGCAGGAGGTGAACACATATCTCATAATAATAATAATACGGTATCTTCAAGTGTGGACAATTTTTAAATTAGACCCTCACTGCTAGATTTAGTGAATTTTACCCGAAAATCAGGCGAAGAGTTTACTCCATAGAGAAAATATTAGATTAGGTACAGGTTGAATACTAAACTAAGTTTGTCACTGTACGGGTTGAATACTAAACTAAGTTTGTCACTGTACGGGTTGAATACTAAACTAAGTCTGTCTGTTTGTTTGTTATGGATTTCGTGCAAAGCTACACGAGGGCTATCTGCGCTAGCCGTCCCTAATTTTGCAGTGTAAGAGTAGAGGGAAGGCAGCTAGTCATCACCACCCACCGCCAACTCTTGGGCTACTCTTTTACCAACGAATAGTGGGTTTGACCGTCACATTATAACGCCTCCACGGCTGAAAGGGCGAGCATGTTTGGTGGGACGGGGATTCGAACCAACGACTCGCAGATTGCGAGTCGAGCGCCCTAACCCCCTGGCCATGCCGGGTTACTAAGTCTGTCACTGTACAGGTTCCATCGTAATTAGCTTTCTTTGCTGAAAGACAAACTCTTCACTGGATAAGAAGTAATTAAGTCTATACATCTCCCGTTGGGACAATGGTAAGTCTATGGAATTGTAACGCTAACATCCGGGGTTCGATTCCTCGCGGTGGTCACAGCAGATTATGTAACTTTGCTATAAATAAACAAAAACAAAACAAAATTAAGTCTATGCATTTCTCAAAATATTAATACAATATATATATACTAAAATTATTAATATTTATTTTTCAAATTTTAGGGGTTCAAACAGATAACCCCAGGATGGCTAAGGACCGTAAAGGCTTCGTTGGAAACATGGGAATATCTAAAAAGAATAAGCCTATCCAGAGAAATGCTGCCAATGCTCGCGAGAGGGCGCGAATGAGAGTTCTTAGCAAGGCCTTTTCTAAGTTGAAAACGTCTCTTCCTTGGGTTCCAGAGGACACTAAACTTTCCAAACTAGATACACTACGTTTGGCATCCAGCTACATCGCCCACCTTAGACAGATTCTGACGGAAGACACAGGACCTCATGCTGTCGTCCACCCAATTACTTTGGTAAGCATGTTTTTACTAAATACCTTTTATCTTTACACTAATATGTCCAGACCTCACAAGATGGACGGCAACGAGATATTAGGTTTTGAAATGAGCAAGCATATCAGTACTGAATTATTCTTTTTAATTAATCTATCATCAGCGATATCCAATCGAAGATTTACAAATTCTTTGAACTTAAGAATGAAAGTACAGTATAACAATACGTCATCCACACAATATCCAGTGCCGACAGGGCTTTTCGACTAGTACCAGGTCTCATCAGGCTGGCTAGGTGACGAAAGGCAGAATGGTGTTTGAGACGCTATTTTACTTCGTATGGTGTGAATTAGTTTAAGCTGGTGAAGTGTATTTTCTGCCAGTTTTAGTTACCTTTAAACAAAACTGTGATTTTTGTGTAATTCCAAGAAACACTCTTTCTTTTGCACAAGAATCGCACGATGTAGCTTGAAATCACGCCCCGTCATTGTTGACAGGGTTAAAATTCGCACCTGAAAAGTGTAAACGTAGAGGAACTAAAAGTTCACACTCCTGCTTAACATGTGAAATTATGGATGAGATGTGAAAATCGAAAGACAACTGTTACGACGTTACGTGCATCACAAGTGTGATGAGGACATGAAATTTGACAATTTTACATGAAGGCCAAGAAATTATTTCCATTAATTAGATTGTGGTGATAATATTTAAACTTATACAACCAACACATTGCATTGAGATGTGATTTCACACCCCACTAGGGATGTGAGATTGAAACGAACGGTGTGGATAACACTTTGATTTTTAAACTTATACAACCAACACATTTCATTGAAATGTGATTTCACACCCCACTAGGGATGTGAGATTGAAACGAACGGTGTGGATAACACTTTGTTTTTAAACTTATACAACCAACACATTTCATTGAGATGTGATTTCACACCCCACTAGGGATGTGAAATTGAAACGAACGGTGTGGATAACACTTTTTTTTAAAACATATACAACCAACACATTTCATTGAGATGTGATTTCACACCCCACTAGGGATGTGAGATTGAAACGAACGGTGTGGATAACACTTTGTTTTTTAAACTTATACAACCAACACATTTCATTGAGATGTGA